GCTGTGTTCATCCAGCTCTGCACCTTGTTGTCTCGGATTCTCCAGCATCTGCAGTTCCTACTATCTCTCATTTAAAGGTTCGACCATTTTTATTTCTCTAGCGGGATGTTGGTCTCTCTGGCTGGGCCAGTATTTATTGCCCATCCGTGGTTGTCCTTGAGAAGGTGGTAGTGAGCTGTCGCCTTGAACTGCTGCGCTCTGAGCTGTAGGTAGACTCTCGGCTGTTAGGGAGGGAGTTCCAGGATATTGTCCCGATGACACTGAAGGAATGGTGATACACTTCCAAGTCAGGATGGTGTGAGGCTTTGAGGAGAGCTTGCAGGTTGTGGTGTTCTCATGTATCTGCTGACCTTGTCCCCATTCGTAGAATGTGTTGTGGGTTTAGAAAGTGCTGTCTAAGGATCTCTGAATTTCTGTAATACATCTTGTAGATGGTACACTCTGGTTCTGAGTGTCACCGGTGGAGGGAATGGATGTTTGTGGATGAGGTGGCAAACAAGGAAGCACTTTGTCCTGGATGGTGTCAAGCTTCTTCAGTGGTGTTGGTGCTGCACTCATCCAGGCATGTGGGGAGTATTGCATCACACCCTTGACTTGTGCCTTGTTTAGATGGACAGGTTTTTGGGAGTTGTGATGAGTTACTTGCTGTCGTATTCCTAGGCTCTGACTGCTTTCTTGTAGCCACTATATTTATGATTAATTCAGTTTCTGGCCAGTGGTAACCCCAAGATGTTGATGAGGAATTCGGTGATGATAAATGCCAGTGATCCAGCATGTCTTGCAGGGCTCAAACAATATCAAAGGTGGAGTGAAAGTTTACCTCCTTTGTGATGCTTCCTTTCACCTCCATAAGATGGCATCCCAGATTCAAGATCTCCATGGAAGATTCATTTCGGTAAGCTTGGCTGCTGGCTTTGATGAGCATCGTGATATCAGATATTAACAGATTTCATTCTGCCATTTGATCTTCAGGTGTTTCTGACAGTAGCTCAAGTGAAATTGTTTGAACTGGAACAGAATGGATAGGACTGTAGTTTGGTAGGACTTCTCTCTTCCGAACTGATCGAAGTTTGCTGAAGGCACGGTTTACTTCAGCAATATTGGCATGTGGTCGATTATCTCCTGAAATAAGTAAATTTACCTATCCTCTGACCAGTTTACAGTCATGATTTAGGGCTTTCTTGGATTGGGCTGCTACACATTTTCAGTTTGCCTCATGCTGATTTGTAAAGCTAATATTGCTATGTGTATTGAAGAATAAGTCCATGCTTCATTGCATGTCCAGCTGTGAACCAGCAGCTAGCACAAAGTCATTAATAAACAGGAAGTTGCAAAGTATATCCATGGTATTTTTTCTAAATTGTCTTTAATTTGAGCAGATTCCCATCCATGTGATATGATTTCATTACCAGAATCGCCATCCTGGAAATCATTGGAGAACATGGTAGAGAAAACATGCTGAAGAGAGTTGGAGTTAGTGCACAGCTGTTAAGCTACTGGGAATGAATCAGAAGACTCTAAATATCCAGTACCTGAGTGTGCATGTCATCATGAAACTGTTGAACTATTGTGGTGAATTTCTCAGGCCAGCCAAATTTGTCCACCACATTTCAAAGGCTTCACAGCAGACTGTGTCAAGGGTCTTGGTCAGGTCAACAAATAGTCATAATCACACAGCACAGAAACAGACTCTTCAATATGTCCAGTTCATGCCGACCATAACGCCAAACTAAACTAGTCCCACCTGCTTGTGCTCGGCCCATATCCCTCCAAGTAGTTCTTGTTCGTGTACTTGTCTAAATGTCTTTTAAAAGTTGTAACTGTATCCGGATACACCATTTCCTCTAAAAGTTCATTCCACACAAACCACTGTGTAAAGAAAAAATAATTGCCTCCGTGTTGCATTTAGTCACTTGAATTGGAACTGTATAACATTAAACCCCATTCTTATCTTGATGTTTTCTGAAACCTCTCAGACTTTCTGGCAGCAGATGCTGATTGACACTGCACTAAGCTGTTCAGTGAGATTGTGAACAATGAAAACACGTTTTGCAGAACGTGCCTTGCTTTCTCATGGAATGAAGAGTTAGTGAACTTTTTGACCAAGATTTAATCCCCAGCCTTGTAAGCATCAGCTGAGAGAGCGTCACCTAGAAATTTGTCCACGGACAGGACTTTGTGTTTATTGTTTCTAACAGTTTGGGACCGACATGAAGAGTTCTTAGTGGCAACCTGCAACAGCCTGGTGATTGTGCTTTGATTTGATAGTCCAGTTGACGATCGGCTAAAGTGCACTACCCACCTTTCTAGAATTTAGGCTGCTTCTGTGACTAGTGTTAACTCATCAGCACTGAGGATTGAGTAGTGAAACCAGTAGACTGGGCCTATAGTCAAATTTTAGAGCATTGTAGACCATCTTTGTCTTTGACTGCATATAGTTAAAGATCACCTGTTTTCTAATTTCAGCTACATGTTACATATCTCACTGATCTTGCATTGCACAGTCCTGAGGATGTTTGGTAGGCAATGTGCTTTGATGTGGTGATTTGTCTTTGAGATAAACCTGATTGATAGAAAGTTTCTCCTGCAGTGAGTTTTGGATGACTTCATTGAACCAATCTTTTTGCTTAAGAGAGTGAGAGGGCCAAGTGCAGTTTATTCCTGAACGTCATCCAGTGAGTGTCTATTTTGTATTACACGATAACTTTCAGTTCTTAACAAGCAATTCCTTCATGACTGTCTGAGTCTCAAAACATTGCTTCTGGAGCTTTTTATCCTCCTCTATTGACCCCAGGATGTAATCGTGCTGCTCAGCTTTTGAAATAAGAACTGCATATGGCTTTTGTTACACAAATCCTGCTTGTCTCTTTTGCCTGGTGATTTGTATAGGCAGTTTGAGCCTGGGTGTGCATCCATGTTGCAATTAAATAGACAAAAATCTAGTTATTACTGGTTTTAAAGTTCATGTTCAGCATACACATTCAGTTTAAACCTTAAGTTTTACTTTCTACAGTGACCCACAGGTGATCTGCAATGTAGAGTGCAGCAGCTTTTCGTGCAGTGGAGAAATGCAGGCTTACGTATCCAATGTGTACCGTTTACTTGCTGGAGTACAGATCCTTCTTTTTTTTGCTTAAAAGAATTTAATGCAGTTTAAGGATCCGATGTTTATCCAACTTATAGCCAAGTAGTTTTAATTTAATTAATTTTAAACTACAGTATAGGAACTAGGTTAATTGCTTTGATGACCCATTGAGTGCAATTTTAAACAAGTTACTAGTTACATGAATTAGTGCTGTTGCATTGTATGTAGTGTCTTTTATTTTGAAAATGGGAAGCGACTATCTATGGGAACTTGAGTGAACTACTTTTAGATTCTGACATTACCAAGGAGTGTCCCCTTTACAGACTAAGTGTCAAACTAATCATACTTAAAACAAAAAGCTGTGGATGCTGGAGATATGAAACAAAAACATAAATTACTGAAGAAACTCAGCAGGTCTGTCAGCATCTGTGGGAAGAACGAGCTAATATTTTAGTTCAGTGACTCTCTTCTTAGAACAGTTCTGATGAAGTTACTGAACTCTGTGTTAACTCAGCTTTCTTCTCATAGATACTACCAGACCTGAGTTCAATCACCTTTTTAATCTCAGTGAATCAGTTGGCTTTGGGGATTTCTATTTGCTAAACAAAATAGACTGTGGAGCAAGTTTTAAGCATGATGGTGGATGTTGGATAAAACACTTTTTTTTTTCCTGAGACTATTAATGATTTGAACAGCATGTCCAAAAAAGTAAATTTGCTGTACTGAGGGAAAATGCATTTTAGTCACTGCATTTATTTCTGTAATGAAAACCTAAATTTAAGAGCCTGAGATAACAAGGTGTAGAGCTGGATGAACACAGCAGGCCGAGCAGGAAAGCTGACGTTTCGGGCCTAGACCCTTCTTCAGAAATGGGGGAGGGGAAGGGGGTTCTGAAATAAATAGGGAGAGAGTGGGAGGCGGATAGAAGATAGGTGGAAAGGAGACAGACAGGTCAAAGAGGCGGGGATGGAGCCAGTAAAAGTGAGTGTAGGTGGGGAGTTAGGGAGGGGAAAGGTCAGTCCAGGGAGGACGGACAGGTCGAGGGGGTGGGATGAGGCTAGTAGGAAGGAGATGGGGGTGGGGCTTGAGGTGGGAGGAAGGACAAGTTGGGGAGGTGGGGACAAGAGCCTGTCTAGCTTTCATGTTACCAAGGAAGGCAGAACAAAAATGTGTTCACTTTGGGTATTTTTAAATGAGATTTAGTGAGGAAGGAATTTTGGAAAATGTACTGTACAAGACCGAACAATACGGAAGAAGTTAACAATTCAAAATACTTTGACCACACCAGGACACTTGGAAGGCATTCGTGATCAAACAAGCACCATTTTTTATTAAAATAGTGACAGCTTGAATGACGGATTCAGTACGCAAATTATTTACTGACTCCACAAATATATTTCTATTAAAAAGTGGAAAACATGCTGTTCTCAAACTTAACACTGTCCATAGTTGAAGTTCTGATAGAAATTACTTGTCTAGTCTGCTGAATCTCTCAACTTAAAGTATTGGCAAAGATCTGTAGCTCGGGTTGTAGATGAGGTTGTTGACTTGCTTGCTGAGCTGGCTTGTTTTTGTTCAGAAGTTTCATCACCATGCTAGGTGACATCGTCAGTGAGGTCTCCAATGAACGATGTTATTCTACTCCGCTTGGAATTTTATATTGTCCGGTCCATTATGGTGAGTACTGTTATTTCTAGTTTTGATCTGTATGGGTTTATATATGGGGTCCAATTCTATATGTTTGTTGATTTGAAGTATGGGTGGAGAGCCATGCCTCTAGGAATGCCAGTGCGTGTCTATGTTTGGCTTGGGCAACTCTGGTTACTTTGTCCCAGTTAAACTGATGGCCTTTGTCTGCATGTTGAGATTGTAAGGGTTTATCGTGCCATTTTGCTGCTAGCTGATGTTCGTGTATTCTGATGGCTAGTTTCCTTGTCTGTCTAATAAAGGATTGGACCGGACAGTATAAATTCCAAGCGGCATAGAATAACATCGCTTCTTCGGAGGCTCCACTGATGATGTTACCTAGCAAGGTGAGGAAATGTCTGAACAAAAACAAGCCAGCCCGGCAAGCAAGTCAACAACTGAATCTCTCAACTGTTCAATTACGTCTTGGTTCTGCAATCTCAGACAAAAGTTACAATTATTTTGTTCTGATTTATAGGCACATGAAATTGCTCCTGTTTTTTATTGAAATCTAAGCCAATATCTTCATATGAGGTTGAAAAAATATGGAAATCTATCTCGAGTCCACCTCCCCAAGAAACACCATTTTGGGCTGCATGATTTCACTTATCAACCATTATCAACTTTTATAAATTAATTGCTTCAGAACCTATTTTTGGAATTGGAGTGTTAATACATGTTGCTAGCTGGGAGCAAGGATGAGACTTTTATTAGGTTTTTGAACCATTCGAGGTGTCACCGTCAGATGTGCGTAGTTTTAGATCCTGACAAAGTATTACACAAATAATTCAACAAAGCACTCATGGGCTGCTGTTTGTCCTCAATCACTTTTGAGTATTCAGCTTGATTACTATTGTGGAAACCTATCTCTTGATAGCCTCTTCAATCTTTAATGGATTTTCTCTTTGGAGTTCTAGGAAAGTTGTACCTTCCATTTTTGTTTTTTTATCTATCTGTTTATAGTGGAGTAGGGCTAAAAGGCTTTTGTGGAACATCAATGCTATAGGAACATATTCAGAAAAGAACCTCGAGGGTTTTGGATACTTGGAATGGTGTATACTGCACTTTTTTCATTGTTGTTTTTTGAAATTTGGTTTTAGGATAAATTGAACTAGCATTGGTGT